CAATTTCAGTAGTTAAACCCATTAAAAAAAATTGTTAAATGAGTGAAAAATATTAGCATTCACATAGTTCAATAAATCTAAACACAAGAGCGTACACATTTATTATACCATAAATGTCTAGTATAGAACACATGAGTAAGACAAATCACAAATCTACAAACACGTTTACAAAACAAAAACATAGAAATGCAGACAGCGTGGTAATATGATGCTGTCAATGTCCGAAGCCTCTAGCTGTTGCAAGCGAAAGTTTGATAAGATCTGACATTAAAACCTAAAGCTGTGTTATATTGTTGCTGCCTACTTGGAAATATCCACAACCTATTGAAAAACAAACAAGCATTATTGAAAAACTCACGTTTTTGGGAATGGGAAGAAATGGGTGGCTACTGGCTACCCCCTTGGCATTTACAACACTACCAGGGGAAGACTAAATCAATTTTGTATGCTTAGTGTAAGGAATTTTTTGTAATTGTTTTTAGCGGCACTGTTAATTGCTTGATGAGATTTTATGTCATGTTATTAACATTTTGTATAGCTAGTATAAGCTTTACTTAATCTGTTAAATTATTCCTTTATCCTCTAGCTGATCCTTCAAGTTATCCCTTTCTTCATCAACCACATCCACAAGCTTAAAGAGAACACTACACTGTCAGCTGGTAAATGTCACACTGGCCTTGCAGATGTCACAGCTACCATATGTGACAAGATTCCATCCTGGAACTTTGTGCTACAAGAATTTACATGACAGCCCGGTTAGTGAGATGCTGTTTTTTTTCTGTCCTTTACTACATTTCAAAGCCATATCCTGCATTCAAAATCCGTAATCCTATATAACAAGGCACGTTTATGGTAATGTCAGTTTTGTTCCTATGGTAGAAGGAGAGATTATTGAAAAGGTGTTCTGTTTCAATCCTGGATAGTTTATCTGTACAAATAATGGTGTTGTTTATTAACTTATCACCTTATCGAAACCCCTTTCAATTTATGCAGTCGTGATAATTGAAGCATAGACACAAACTGTTTCATGCTTTTTTTTTCTTCACTGTATACATTTTCTATACTGATTGCCAGGTAGAAAGAGCCGAGCTTATAACAATGATTGACAGGGAGTTAAGATGGAGGAACTCAGTTGTTAGATAAAAAGGTGCAAATGTCTACATTTATTTTTATTGTAAAGCATCCCTGTCACCATCTGGGTACTTTGCCGAATTTGAACAGACCCCCGACAGTGACATTGCTACCGGGGGGAGGGGTGGAGGGAGACCAGGTGAAGGTGATAGTTTACATTCCCAAACCTGTCCCTCACAGGTGTGGCCATCTTCTTTTGATGGGTCCTCTTAAGTAGCGCCAGGAGCCAAGATCAACATTGAGGTCTATGGAGGATCCCGACAGACATAGCCAATTCCCTGCAGTTGTCACTGATGACAGCTGGGGGGATTGACACTTCTAGATGACAGTAGCTCCGCCCATTATCTAGAAGGGTCAGATGTAGGAAATATACAGAGACAAAGCAGTCCCTACTTTGTTTTACTATATCTCTTAACTAGGTTGGCATTTCAGTGAAATTCCAACAGAGTCAAAATTAATATTTCATAACGATTCTATCTTTATGAATTACTCATTTTTCAAGAAGGGGGTGGCAGTGCTACTTTATTTACACATTTCTTAAATCTAGGGATTACTAAACATATAAAAATTTCTGGAAAGCCTTTATTTCTGCTACTCAGCTGGCTTCACGTGAATGAATCCATTAAGCTTCTATATTCGATCAATGCTCCAATTAGCAAGTTTCTGTAACGTACACATTAGTTACAGAATATTAATAAATAACAGTATTTCTCTAGTTCTTTCCAGGTTTAGAGAATATTTGTTTTGGTTTTCTACCCACTTTTTAGAGAAGGTGACATTAGTGCCTCCCTACATTCTAACTAAGGGACTTAACATCATTTTTCATACTACAATTCCAACATCTACAAACCCTTTGCGAGCTTGCGAGGGATAAAGATCTTTTTAAGGACAAAATTAACCCAACTCTAGAACACTGCTTAGACTCGTACTACACTAGCTTAAAAGTCCAGATGTTCAGAGAGGTTTACGATCAAGTACATATAGAATCTTAAACTCTTAAAAAATACACTCATGGACCTGAAGCATAGGTCAGAATAATTTATAAATATGTACATCCCCAAATCATCTTAACCTTTATATATATCGACTCACATTGAACCTGCATTTAAAGCAAAAATATCCAGAAACACAAAAAAATTGCTGTTATTTTTTGTGCTTTGTGAAAATGTATGTATTAGGCTTTCAATTCATATACTTGCATATAACTATGGCAACTATTTCTGTTATGTGGTTATGGGTATACCCTTTATGCCAGTGTTGCTATGGCAACTTTTAGTAATACATGATCCATTTAATGTGTAATCTACTAAAATGTAGACTTACATCTTGTCATACTATTGTAGTGAGAGTATATCGTACCTGGGGAACCTTCCAGGGACACTATAGTTATCCAGACCACTTCAGCTCATTGAAGTTGTCAGGGCGCAGTGTCCCAGTCCTACTTAGCCCTGCAATGTAAATCATTGCAGGATTTGAGAAACTGCAATAATTACATTGCAGGACTAAGACTCCTTCTAGTGGCTGTCAATCAGACAGTCACTTGAGGTACTTCCTGGTGGCTAATCAACTTTTGGTCACCTGACTGATTCTGAAAGTCATTATAAGTAGCTCCAGATTTGTGTTCTTTAAAACATGAGATATTTGAGAGATGAGACATGAGAGAGTTTTTGTGTGTGTGTCCAAGATAAGAGAAAAAAAAATTGACACATAGTTTACTTGAAGTATCACACAAATGGAACCAAGGCCAACCTATGTATAAAACTCACAAACTGGGACCCTGATAAAATTGTTCTTGAATCTTCCCTGGCAAGATTATTCACTAACTTGTGAATTACCCGGAATTCAAATTGAATTAAAAAATTTAGACCATATAATAGCTGAACTAATTTTAGAAGAACAAAACAGTGCCACAATTAAATGGCAGATGACCTACCAAGGCAGAACCTCATCAGGGGATAACCCTTCTTCTAGGAAGGGGTATTGTCTCTATCACTAGCCTACAAGAGTTCTTCATTCTTTCATCTTTTCGATTCCTTTAGTATTCATTCCTTTTAAGCAGTTTAAGCCATAGTAATTACTGAGTCCTCCCTCCTCGAGTTTCTATGGGGTTCGTCTCACTCAAGGGTATTTTGCACCACGACACATTTTTTATTTTCTTTTTATACATGTATAAGTCTAATAAAGTTCTATTTTAATTAGGAGGCAGTTCCATTTTATGTGTTCCCTCTTAAGGAACACTTTTTGTATATTGTTGTTTAAATATGGTAAAAACAATTTTGACCTTGGATTATAAATTCACTTAGAATTTTCAACAATTCCCACTTTTGTGAAGAAATGCGCGTTGGACATCTTGACGTCGGGGTGACCGATTGATCTGATTGTCTGGGTGATGAACTATTATGAACATGCATTATACTGAATTTAAATAATATTGTACCTTTATATGTTGCAGCAGTATGATGTATTCAGTTTTGTATTGTTTCTACGTTCATGGCATGATAAAAAATGAATGCTTTACCATCAACACACTTACAAATTCCCTCAGTTAACGTCATGCTCCACTTAACAAAATTAAATGTAATCTATACGCTTAATTCCTCCTTGAACTCTCCTTTTATGTCATCTAATTTAGTGGTGCTTGTATTGATGGGTATGTTCAAATACTGCTTAGCTGAAGTCTGAAAATACCCAAAGCGTATTCTGCTTCAATGTTCTGAAGGAGATCTTTTGTCTGATGGGAATATTAAACAGACCTTGATTAACAGAGGCTGTTGTATTGACTATATCTCAGCCAGAATGGCTAATCAAATCTATGTTGATTTAAATGATTTCATATGCATCATGTGTTTATCGAAAAATAATTCGCATTTTGTTAGCTACTTTAATCACTTATACATGTTTAATCTAAATTAAACTTATCACAAAACAGTATATGTCTGCTCAAAATAAATGCAAAATAGAACTGTGGATCTTCATAGCAGATAAAAGCCAACTGACCCATTTAATCTGCAATAAAACTACTGTAGGCAATATTTTTCAACTGTCTAAATTTGAGCAATTATAAGAATTGTATAAATCGGTAAAAAAAACTGCAATAAAAATAGAAACTTATTTTCTTCTCATTGCTTCGGGTTTCCCCAAAAAATTATAGATCAAATGTTCAAACAATCTATACTAAGATGCTAGTTACAAAATAATGCAAATTAAATCTAACGCTACATTTAACTACTTGTTATAGAGAAGAGAGATCATATGTTAATTTACTTGTTTTCTTAATAACTTCTTTAATTCCCACAAACTGGCTGTCTAGTGTACTATAACATAAATCTTGAATTTGGATCTCTAACTAGAGTTAAGCGGACACCTGGATGTTCGGGTCTGGCGGGTTGAAAAAAAGTCCGGGTTCGGGCTCGAACTTGACCCCGAACCCCATTGAAGTCAATTGCGACCCAAACTTTTGGCCACAAAAAATCCTCTAAAAAACTCCTGGAAAGGGCTAGAGAGCTGCAAAAGGAAGTAAAATGGGGTAAGAGTAGGACAAGTGCCCTGCAAACAAATGTGGATAGGGAAATCACTTAAAATAAAATTAAAATTAAAAATACAGCTGAGCCATAAAATAGCACTAGATGGAATCTTTGATTTTAGCTTTTGAAGAACATAAATTAAAATCTAAAGCATGGCTGTCAGGAGGATCACCAGAATTATCGATTTGAGAGAGGGTTGGAGTGCAGGTTCTTTCATTGTTCAAACTAAGCTCAACTTCTGATGCATGGAGAAAAGGCCTTCACAAGCCTCTACTAATGTGTACATAGTTTATACTAAGTGACCCATAGGTTGAGGAGGCGGTGACCGTGGCGGTGGAGGAGGAGGATGAAGTAGCCAACACTGTTTATATGTATATATACACACACACACATATATATATATATATATATATATATATATATATATATTAATTGGGGTAGCCCCCAAAATATTGGGACATATAAAAAAAGACAACTCTGTTCCGCAGAGTAGCTGTTGACATTGTAGTTGCGCAGGAACTTTGTTGACTCTAGAGAACCTCGGGCAAATCGCACATCCCCGTGGCGGCAACTTTGCATGCGGATGTCATCCATATCAATTTTTGATGCCAGTTTCTGTGCCTACCATGGTGACCACGGGTAACGGGGAATCAGGATTCCATTCCGTACAGGGACACTAAGAAACGGCTACCACATGCAAGGAAGGCAGCAGGCACGCATATGACCCACTCCTGATGCGGGAAGGTAGTGACGACAAATAATACAGGACTCTTTAGAGGCCCTGTAATTGTAATGAGTACACTTGAAATCCTTTAACTCTGATCAATTGGAGGGAAGTATGGTGCAGAGCCACTGACCCGTGCATGCTGCAGCTGAAACTCAACTATCACCTGCTGCTGCTCGCAAAGTCTCATGAGGCGTGAGCGGGAAGGCCGAAGTTACGCTGCAGCATAGACTGGTGAGCAGCAGCAGGATGAGAACGCCAAAAGCGCGCACAGCTGCTACAATGAATGTCACATCCTGGGTCTGATCACCGGACTGCCCACCTCACTGTGAAACTACGAATGGATCGTTAAATCTGGTACGAACCCGAACTTTGCAGTTCGGTTTGCTCAAGTCTATTATGGACCCTTTGATCGCTACATGTATTACTTGAATAACTGGTAATTCTCGAGCTAATACATGCCGATGAGCGCTAGGGGACGGTTGCTCCGCTTTTGCACCCTGCTCCCTCTCATGCTGTGCTGGTGCCTCTGTGCCACAGCGCCTCTTCCTCCAAACTGCACACGTCACTTGTGGAGTCTAGGACCTCATCATCCTCCTGTTGCGGCTCCCGGCCCGCCGCATGGTGCAGCCGTGCCCGACCGGCATGACCTCGCCGATATTGCGTGCTTACCTGCGAGCCGGGAACCGCTCCTCCGCGTCTTCTGGGCGTTGCGCCCAAAACAAAGTTGGCGCTGACCACGCGGTCGCGCACACCACAAGCTTCGCCCCTCAAATTTATACGGACTTGCGCGTGACGTCATGCCGTCAACGCACACGCACGTTCTGGGATTCAGAGGTCACCCTCTGACCAATCAGAGCCCAGAGAGGGATATTTAAATCCCTAATTCACTCCAGTTCCTGGCCCTGTCGTGGTTTACTGTTCCTGGTTCCCGAGAGTGCGTTTATCTTTGTGAATATTACTTCCTGGTATCCTGATCTTGGCTTTTCCTTAGTTATTCCGAATTCTGGTTCCCCTGACTTGGCTTGTTTAAACGGTATCTGAGTATTTCTTGCTTCCTTGACCTCGGCTTTCCCTTTGACCATTCTCTATCTCTAGCGTATTAGTCCGGTCATTCTAAGGTCCGGTTTACGCTCTGCCCTTTTATTTCCTTTCCTTTTTTATGTATATGTTTACATAGTTTCTGCGTGTTGGACCACACTAGCAGCTGTGACACCTCCACATCATCTTCCACCCACTCCTCAACCCTGCCCTCCTTGCCAGTATGCACACTGCAGAAAGCCACAGCAGTTGGCACCTGTGTTTTTCCAGCATGTAAAGTCTGCAAAGGATATATGGAAATTGTTTTAGAATTTCCTCCAGGCAACAGCTTTTTCTATAAACAGACCTCTTAGTTTGACTTGTGAGGGTATTGCCCCAGAATTACAATATTGTTGAAGTACTTCTTAGCTACTGATCACTGGTTTAAATATAGCAGCTTGTTATCTGGTAGTTTCTATTGTAGAAAATATCAATCTGTTTCGATCTGTGTTGTAGATGTGAAACAATATTACAAGTGACCGATGTAGTAAATTCGAATCAAAGTTACGCTTTAATTTATAGAAACATAGAAACATAGAATGTGACGGCAGATAAGAACCATTCGGCCCATCTAGTCTGCCCAATTTTCTAAATACTTTCATTAGTCCCTAGCCTTATCTTATAGTTAGGATAGCCTTATGCCTATCCCACGCATGCTTAAACTCCTTTACTGTGTTAACCTCTACCACTTCAGCTGGAAGGCTATTCCATGCATCCACTACCCTCTCAGTAAAGTAATACTTCCTGATATTATTTTTAAACCTTTGTCCCTCTAATTTAAGACTATGTCCTCTTGTTGTGGTAGTTTTTCTTCTTTTAAATATAGTCTCCTCCTTTACTGTGTTGATTCCCTTTATATATTTAAATATTTCTATCATATCCCCCCTGTCTCGTCTTTCCTCCAAGCTATACATGTTAAGATCCTTTAACCTTTCCTGGTAAGTTTTATCCCGCAATCCATAAACCAGTTTAGTAGCCCTTCTCTGAACCCTCTCTAAGCTATCAATATCCTTCTGAAGATACGGTCTCCAGTACTGTGTACAATACTCCAAGTGAGGTCTCACCAGTGTTCTGTACAATGGCATGAGCACTTCCCTCTTTCTACTGCTAATACCTCTCCCTATACAACCAAACATTCTGCTAGCATTTCCTGCTGCTCTATTAGATTGTCTGCCTACCTTTAAGTCATCAGAAATAATCACCCCTAAATCCCTTTCCTCATATGTTGAGGTTAGGACTCTATCAAATATTCTGTACTCTGCCCTTGGGTTTTTACGTCCAAGATGTATTATCTTGCACTTATCCACATTAAATGTCAGTTGCCACAATTCTGACCATTTTCTAGTTTACCTAAATCATTTGTCATTTGGCTTATCCCTCCTGGAACATCAACCCTGTTACATATCTTAGTATCATCAGCAAAAAGACATACCTTACCATCAAGACCTTCTGCAATATCAATAATAAAATATTAAAGAGAATGGGTCCAAGTACAGATCCCTGAGGTACCCCACTGGTGACAAGTCCAAGCTTCGAATATATTCCATTAACTACAACCCTCTGTTGCCTGTCACTCAGCCACTGCCTTACCCATTCAACAATATTGGAATCCAAACTTAAAGATTGCAGTTTATTGATAAGCCTTCTATGTGCAACAGTGTCAAAAGCATTACTGAAATCTAGGTAAGCAATGTCTACTGCACCACCCTGATCTATAATTTTAGTTACCCAATCAAAAAAATCAATAAGATTAGTTTGGCATGATCTCCCTGAAGTAAACCCATGTTGTCTATGATCTTGAAATCCATGTGTTTTTAGATGTTCATCAATGCTATCCTTTAACATGGTTTCCATCACTTTCCCCACTATTGAAGTAAGGCTTACTGGCCTATAGTTGCCCGACTCCTCCCTATTGCCTTTCTTGTAAATGGGCACAACATTCGCTAACTTCCAATCTTCTGGGACTACTCCTGTTAACAATGACTGGTTAATTAAATCTGTTAATGGTTTTGCTAGTACACCACTAAGCTCTTTTAATAGCTGTGGGTGTATTCGATCAGGTCCCATTGACTTATTTGTCTTTACTTTTGACAGTTGAAATAGAACCTCTTCCTCTGTAAACTCACGTGTAATAAATGACTCATTTATCCTCAACTGAGGTCCCTTTCCTTCATTTTCATCTGTAAATACAGAACAAAAATATTCATTGAGGCAGTCAGCTAGACCTTTATCCTCTTCTACATACCTTCCTTCTTTTGTTTTTAATCTAACTAATCCTTGTTATACTTTTCTTTTCTCATTTAAGTATCTAAAAAATGTTTTATCCCCCTTTTTTACTGACTGTGCTATTTTCTCTTCTGTGTGTGATTTGGAAGCTCTTATAACTTGCTTAGCCTCTTTCTGCCTAATCTTATAGATCATTTGACTCTCAGATATGAAGTGAACACCTCAAATATACTATTTAGCGCCCCCCCCCCAAATAAATTGACTTTTTAAAACTCCAATGTAAGCAGCAGATTAGCAGTAAAACAATTAGAATGTTTACAAGTGCGCAGTAAGCACACTATTAGATGCTTCGATTTGACTCTCAGATGTGAAGAACAGGCCCCAAAATTTACTTTTTAGCAGATTAGCAGCAAAACAATTAGAATGTTTACAAGTGCGCAGAAAGCACACTATTAGACGCTTTGATTTGACTCTCAGATATGAACAGGCCCCAAAATGTACTATTTAGCAGTTTAGCAGCAAAACAATTAGAATGTTTATCACTGCGCAGTAAGCACACTATTAGACGCTTCTATTTGACTCTCAGATATGAAGTGCACCCCACTAGTGATGTCGCGAACCCGAAATTTTCGGTTCGCGAACGTCCGCAAGTGTTCGCGAACCGGCGAACCGCCCGAAACGCCATTGACTTCAATGGGGAGGCGAATTTTAAAACACACAGGGACTCTTTCTGGCCACAATAGGGATGGAAAGGTTGTTTCAAGGGGACTAACACCTGGACTGTGGCAGATGTTG